GGGGGAAAAAAAAAAAAAAAAAAAGCAAAGATAGTACCAATAGTAATAGGTGCCTTGGGTGCAATCCCAAAACATCTGGAGCACCGCTTGAACACATTGGCATTGACAAAATCACCACCAGTCAATTGCATAAGGCAGTTTTACTTGGAATCGCTTACATCCTGCAACAATACCTTTAACATGATCAAACAACAACATCTGCCTATCCCAGGTCCTTGGGAAGGATTCGATAGGTGGATAAAAATGCCTAATCCAGTCTAAACATCTGGCTGACTATGCAACCAATAATAATAATACAGGAAAATCAGGATCTTCACTTTGTGGAAAGTTTCCATATATGGAGAAACTCTCCACTGCAGATATTCATTCACTACAAATGGAAGGAAACAAGCAGACAACAAGGCTAGTATACTAACTGAACTGAACTAGAAGTCTAAACATTATCTGGGGGCATGAGCCACTGAACTTAATGGGATGTGTTACAGAGTAAGCATGCATAAGTTTCCTTGTGCTTGCAGCCCATCACAAATGCCTCTATTGACTTGTTTCTGTTTTACAAAGAGAAAAAAAAATGCTTCATGCCCATCTTCCACAGTTTCCACTGCAGCTTACTAAATTGCTAAATTGATCCATCCCCAGCAAGGCAGAAACCTATGTGTATTTATTCAGGAAGTAAAAACCATTTAATTTAGAGGGACTTACTACAGAATAAAGATGCTTACTGTGCCCAAATTTCTGTAGTCTCTTTTGTGGGTGTTTACATCCTTTTTCTTTTCTGTCTAATCTAGTTTTGGAGCAGGAGAGTGTCCTAAATTTAGAGCTGTCTTCTTTAAATCTTTCAGGTCATTGAAAGGAGACAATTGAACCTAGCTCGGTCACTATTATATATCACATTCACGTATTGCAAAGCACCTTAAATTTTCTAAGTGCCATGTAGGTAGGAAAAAGATTGGCGCTGCCTACAAATCCTACAGTTTAATTTACACCATATAAAAAGAAAAGGGAGAAGGAAGGGGAAAAGGCATTTACATAGCAAAAAAAGAAAAGACTGTACTTTGAAATGAAAAGGAACAAAAAAATAAAGGGCAACAACAGATGAAACAAGAATAAAAATACAGATTTGTTCTGAAATGTAGAAAGAGAGGTGAGTTCTTCAGACCACTGTATAGCAGATGGAGAATGGTGATCCTTCCAAACTAGAATAATTTTTTTTTATTTTGTTTTTTATCTGCCAACAGATCATAACACCATTTTTTTCCCTGGGAGGCAGGGGATGCAGCTTCTTAGTGGTCCTTGGTCTTCTGGATAGATTAACCAGAGTGTTGCTCCCTTTCATTATGGTTCTGTTATTATTTATTCAGCATAGAACATTATTTTGTGCCATTTGGAAAACTACACATATTTTCAGTAAGAAATTGATGGGCTCAGTTAATTGTTGGAGATGCAATGCTCAAAATATAACTGTAGTTCATAGACTGGTTAATTGTTTGTTTGATTTATTTATTCATTCAGTTTATACAGCCCACCCATCTCATCTTTATGTGACCTTCCCCATGTATATAATCCAACTCATTGGTTTTGTCAGAATGATGAAAGAGTAAACAATTCTATATCAATAAGGCCTGATCAACACATGCTGAGAAATCACAAGCTGCAGCTTTCATGCAACTGCAGTTTCCCCTTGTGATTTCCCCATCTACATCTGTAGTTGTAATTTAATTTAATGGAAATATGAAATGTCAACATTTACTGTTTATTTCAATGAAGATCTGATATTAAAATTTTCTCCAGATTTATAGATACAGTACATTAATGTTTATTAAATGATTACTTATTAGTACTATTTCTATTCAAGAGATAGAAGCAAACATGTGCTGTGGTTTTGCTTGTTTTAGAAAGAAAAAGATGGCAGACTCTGAAAACCAAAAGAAAGGGGGTGGAAGGGAAAGAGTATCTCAAGTGCCAATAGGAATTTCAATTTCTATAAGCCCAATATTTTTGAACAAGTCCTTTATCAAGAGTGTTACAAAATAAAACCTAGACCTCCATGAGGACCCTGTTAAGAAGGTCTGCTCCAAAAATCATCAGGGTTCTCTGACACACAGGGGGAATTTCCTGATATTTGGTTGAGCAGCTTCGGTTCAGACACTTATTCTCCAGACTTTCTGCATCTGTAGATTCCTGTTCTGCAACTCTATTCAAGATGACCTGGATCGTTTGAGAAAAGATAAGATGACTTCG